TCTTGCTCTTAACCAAATGTCTTAGACAAGTCTCATAATCATCTGTTGCACCCTCTGCTGATAATGCATCGTTTATGGCATACACATTGCCACTAGGAATAGGTATCTGCCCAAGAGAAAGAAGAGGTGAGCCTAAAAGTTTAGTAGATAGAATTAAGATGTGAAACGAGAGAAGTGATGAAGTAAAAAGAAGTGACAAAATGAGCTTAAAAGTTAAGTAGGTAGAATAAAGATGTAAAAGGGAAATGGTGATGAAGTAACAGCTCATTCATCATTCTTAAAAAGTACAAAACTGCCTAAATGTGATGCAAGTATCATGAACAGTTGGTAATCTAATAGATGCACTCATCNAAAAAAAAAAAAAAAAGTAAAATTGGAGCAACTAAATAAATTTCTATATAAGTTGGGTTGAGATACCTTTTGTTTTGGCCGAGTTCCATGACTCAGCCCAAATTGACCCATGAGCTAAAATGTTTGTAACTCAACCCATTAATCTTATGGCGGGTTGGGCGGGTTAAATGGGTTTGGGCTCAAATTGCCACCCCTACTCATCAGCCATGCATCTCAAAAGTTTAGTAAGAATTTGGTAATTTAGTTCATAATCATCTTCGCTTCAAATACTCTGTAGCTTTGGAATGCTGGGACTGCCAGATAAGATGGCACATCTCAGAGCAAGCCCATTTAACTTGCTAGAGTTACCGAAGAACCTTCCCTAAAAGTGTATGGGCCAAGATTGAGGATATATTTCAAACCCGCTTAAATCATACTAAGTTGGAGTTAAGCAAAAGCCAACATAAGCTCAATCTGAGCTTATCAGCAACTCTACATGGCATTGAGCACGGGCAATTTTACTCATTGAACTTCAAAACATGTCAATTTTGCTTAAGCTATTCAATTACTATTCAGCTGATCCTGTAGATTTAACCCCCACTAAACTACTCTAGCAACAGAAATCTCAAAGCATTACCATTTAGTTTAAAGTAGGTAAGGTTACAATGGTAATGTTTGAAGTATTTTGCTAATACAACATTATTTCTCATATTACGTTCCACACAAAAGAGAGAAAAAGAAGAGGGACCTCAAATATTGTTTAGAAGTCATTGATAAAAGGGCTTCAAGGGTTGACAAGTTCTTTATATCAGGAATTTATGGATACGCTGCGCAAGCAAAAGATAAAATTTAATGTTGTATATTCTTGCTTCTCTTCTTTTTGTACAGCAGGTTCTTTTTTCAAATTCTTTATATGTTGCCCTTTTATATGGATCACATAGTGTTACTCCATGTACCCCAGAAATGTGTTTAAAAGTTACTTGACATATCCGGCTCATCCAAACAATCAGGTTCATGAAATCTTCGGACTTGTTTACCATTTGTTTTTCTTTTGGGGTGCATTATGAAGAGAGGATTTAAATGATCCCTCTCCCCCCCACCCCCC